TATATATATATATATATATATATATATATATATAGAGGTATTATCCAAGTTACACTCTCGTAATTTTTCCAATATAGGTGTAAATGTAAATCAATCAGATCGATGACGACCTGATGGTCATTATAAAAATTTAAGCAAATCCTATATAAAGTTGGGAGCTTGCTGTAAAGACATTGCTTGAAACCATATATAGGCAAATTTGTTTATAGACGAGGCGAACACATCAGATTCACACATCAAAATACCAAAAATTGAAAATTTCGTTACTTATGTGCTTAAGCAAACGCACACACAACCGCACACAAATACATTACTATAGCGTTAAACATCTACGCACAGTTTTATCCAATACATTTCCTTTTTGCACCCAGCTGTGCATAATGCGCAGCCTTAGTAACAACACAGTGCACAAGCTTCAGGAGATGTGCTCGTTTCAGTTCTTGCACTCTCTCTCTCTCTGTCTTTCTCTTATTCCCTTTTTAATAACGTTTGCATGTCATCATCTAGAGCATAATAATTTTGATGCGCGAATGTTACTAACGAACTGTCTTGCCTTACATATATAGAATGTTATTGAAAACTTTGTTGTTGTTTAACACTTCGCATTGTTTTATCACTTCTATCAATAGATGTCGCTGTTCAAAATACATTCAAGCACCTAATGCATATAATATCTCCGATAGCATAAACGAATATATGAATATAGAAAGATAATAATGATAAGCACGTTTTAATATAAATTTCGAAATTTCAAGAGTAGAAGACGTACAAAAAAAGAGAGGGACGAGTGATAATTCAAAGTCTCACATCGATCAGAAATAGGTATATTTTATAGTATCCTTGGTGAATAATACAAGTGCGGCAAAAAAGCCAAAAGGTATAACTTAATGCTTAATTCGCAGTACGGCAGGCCATACTTTAATTCGAATTGCCGTTTGGCCCTATACTATAGGGAATCGTGTACCTATGAGATGACCGCCTATACTCAATTACTCTATTGCCATTTGTTTCAGACCACCATCGTGTACCATACTAAAGAAAGAAAAAATCCTTGATCCAATATTATTGAAAATTCACTATACCGCTGTTGTATAAGCATAAAAAAAATTTGTTCAGCGGAAACTGAATTTATTGAAAATATCAAAATAACGCAATTGTTAATCTAATTAGCTACAAGAAGTCTAACCAGAACGGGAAAATCGTTCTCATATAAAATAATTCTATATAAAAAGGACTCGGTATAGTATTATAGGCTCACCATTAAATACTCTCACACCACTTTCCTTTTCACCGTTGTTTACAGCTGTTCAGGGAGTAGCGGAAAAAAAGTTGACAGATCCGAACCATTTTCAATAGCGTTCGTCGTTGGACCAAGACGGAATTTCATTAATATATCTCAAATAGTATGTCCTGTATGTTGAACACAAGGCAGAAAAGGCATGCTTAGTTCGTTGCAGGAAGCGATTCTCGATCGATTAGTATAATGAAAGGTGGGCCTATCTCAGGTTCATCTGAGTAATTGAATACATCCTTACAAATTTAATGTATGCTTGTATCATAGGTGATAAGTGATGTAAGTTATAAAAATTAAATTTAAGAAAACCCTCGGACAGGTAAGCTTCAGACCCTATATAGAATATTTATGCTGGATTAATATTAAATTTTGAATTAATATAAGCATGTCCGGCTATCTGATCGTCTGTTTATATAATATCTGTGATAAGCATTATTTTGATCGCAAAAATAACGATATCGTTTCAAATATGCCGAAAGCATTGAAGCATTGTTTGTATGCTGGTTGGCATTGCCAAAGGGCTGAATTGATCAAAAGACACTCCCATAACTTAAAGTGCTTTCCAGTTCATTCGTAAACTACAGCAGACAAATTTATAAAAAATTTCCTGTATATTCATGTTGCCGCTTCGACGATAGTATCTAGATAAAAATGAAAGAAATCGGCCACGCCCACTTAATATTGTTAGATATTCGAAATTCATTTTTATACCCATCAACGAAGGATGAACAGTATATTCATGCCCGGAAGGAAACTTCAGAGATCCCACAATGTATATGTATTCTTGATCAGCATTAAATTTGGAGTAGATTCAAGCATGTCCGTATGTCTATCCGGCAGTTTGTCCGTCTGCCTAATGTTTACTGTAAACGCTTCCCTGGCCGCAAAAATTACGTTATCGATTTTAAATTTGGCAGAAACATTGGAAGTTCTTGCCCACATGTTGGTACTGAAAGTGGGTCAAAGCGATCGTAGGACTCGCCCACAGAACCACATAAACTGCGAACATCTTGTTTTTTTCAAAAGCAAAAAAAAAAATGTGCTTTTGATTATTACTCATAAACGATTGCTTGATAAATGTACAAAAATTTAAAAGCACAATCTATGGCCGCTGCTGCGGCACCTTCATAGAAATGGGAAAAATTGACCGCGCCTACTCAATATTATAGTGTATTAAAATTTAATTTTTTATTTTTTTTTTACTACCTTTTTAAAGCGCAAGAACAAGCTTCGAACACCCCATAAAAGTATAATAAATTCTTGATCAGTATCAAATATGGAATGCACCTAAACATGTCGGTCTGTCTGTCTCTCCACGAATATGGATAGATCGCCTACGGATTTGAATAAGAATTTAAAAATTGATTTAAACTTTCCGAAGGACATGCCTATAACGTCCACCTGTCATTGAGGTAAATAATTTTTACTTTGAAAATAGGAAAAAATCAGGTGTATCCACTTTATATTATAGAATATGAAAATTTCGTTTTTTTTTTTTTTTTTTTTTTGTTAATTTCTTTAACTTTTTAGGATAACGATAATGGGTATAAAACGATTCGGTCACGACTTACAACACTGCCCTTAAAATTGCTAATTAAAACAAACCGTGCAACAAAAACACATATATATGAAGTATCATGTTGAAACGAAACCATTACCTATTTTCTAATGCCTTGCATTAAATAACTTGCAAAGAAAAAATATGCCGTTCGTGGTTAATTAATGAATGAATTATGAGATAATGAATTTCATTGATATTCTAATAAAAAATGTTGTTGTTTTTATTAATAATCATATTGAATATTTATATATTAACTCATTTTACATATATATATATATATATATATAAAATTATATTAAAATTTTGTATATAATGTATACGAGCGATTATATTACGGATATGTTGAGCAAAAAAAATATAAGCGTTCAACGCTAAATAAGCAGATAAATTACTTAATAAATATTATTTTAAACATCAAGGGGCATATTTTGCGGTAATAGGGCTAATTGTGCTTTCAACGCCTGGATTTGTGCTCTTAATTGTATATTTTCACGTTCCAAATAGTTAGCAAATATCGCGATTTCATCTTCTTTTCTGCGACGACGATCGCGGGACTTTTTTGCGGCAGCATTGTTCTTGCGACGTCGCTCATAATATGCGGCATCTTTCACTTGCGTTGTCGAATTAACGAGATTGGGATTTTTTGAAGATGAGATATCGCCATTATTGGTCGCATCATTAGTTTTCGTTCGACCAGAATTCGAATCGGAATCACTTATGTCTTCCATATTAATTGAGCGCTCTTCATTTTCGCTCGTATTACTGAACGTGTCCTCAGTCAAGCTAAAGCTACGTGAATTTGTTCGACGCATTTTTGGATTGCTTATTGTATCGCTACCGCCGTTACTACGTCGTATGTGTTCTAACACCCGCTTACGATATTCGGTATAAGATTCGACACGTGGATTATCTAATAAAACATCAGTAGCGGCGAAATTTGCAGCTACAACTAAAGGATCTCGTGGATAAGCTTTAAAAGGTCGAGTATTTTTATTATCCAGATTTGTTAGAGATCCGGTATAGCTACCGTTATAGGGGCTAGAAGATGAATGGTTTTGCTGAATTGTTGACTCTTCCCCATTTAAACCATCACTTGCTACAGTGGCCTTAGCAAATGTCTGCAATAAACCGGTATTAACAGCGAATTTTGGAGCGGTGGCAACGTTTGTTGCCGTTAAAACGGGAGGAGGTGTAAGCGCTACGGATTCTGATTTAATGGAGCTTTCATAGCTCAATTTTGGATATATTGAAATTGCACCGTCATTCGGCGTATTTGTGTGACTTACTGGTGTTATTGGTTTGTATAAAAGTTTCTGTGCAGCATTAGGCGAATCGCTTGGTGGTGTATCCATTCGTGATGTTGGATGCGAACTGTTTTGATAGGGCGAAGGAGTTTTATGTGTTGTTGTTGCTGCTGCTGTTGCTGCTGCTGTTGTTGTCGTTTCTACCGTCAAATCACAACGTCGCGAAAGGTCTAACACTTCACCGCCATTATTCGAAGAGATTGTTGATTGATGCAATAGATTGGCCGTCGCATTGGTATTTAATAATTTTTGATGTATTTGCTGTTGATAGGCATAAGCCGAGTATATGTCTAAAGCAGCGAATGGCGATGAGGGTGATTGTAAATTTTGATGTAAATGTAAACCATTTGGTGGTTGCTGATGTACATTGGTAGACGTTTGCAATAGGCCGGAGTGTTCTAAATCGTAAAAATAAAAAATAAAAAAATTCTAGTAAATTAGTTTTGTATCCTATAAGTTGGTAAAAATGTTAATATATTTTTGTTTTTAGATTTTGAACTAACCATTTCGAAAATCCAGTAAGAATTGACCGGATATTAGTTTATCTTGTAACATCATAGTTTTTGGGTAAATCTCTCTCACAATTTTCAACACAGAGAAGTTATCAAAAGTGCTAACGAAGGGAACGTTCAATCTGTACTGAAGCCGAAGTGGTATGATTAGCCCTTTATATACAGTAACTTGTTGCACTCATACAACGGCACATGAAAACACAATGAATTCATCCCTTTGAGAGAATTTGCATAAACCATTTTTATTCTCTTTTTTCTTTTACTCTTTTTTTCTATTACCTATCTACTCTATCACTAAGATGTCTTATTACTTTCCCTTTCCCTTTCCCTTTTTGTCCTTCATGTAAATGTAAACGTTAACATTTGTTTTTTGATAGGCAGAGCAACGGAGAGACACAGGTAGATGATAGTTAGATGCTGGCTTCATAACATTGAAACAATATTGAGCCTAAAGGATAATTATGTCGCAAGTGTTGAGAGATTGTCATACTGGGTAAGCAATATAATAATAGATATATAAGGGTGTTTCACTGATATTGTACTGTTCCGCTTTATTAACTCAACTGCAGAGAGGGTTAACATTAGCTCTCATTATATGACCTTTTACTCTATTAAGTTGCATGCTTACTTCGGATTGAGAAAGTTCGAGTTACACCCCTTTTTTATTGTCAATATTTATTGTTCAATTTTGTCCATATGATTGCCTATTTATTATGTCCTTTACTCCTTTACTTCTAATAATTCATAATATTTTACTTTCACTTTCGTCATTTGTTTATGATTTTATAACTTATTCGAGGAAAAATAAAAAAAAATTATTCGGTTCGCGAAATCTATTTTTTTTTTTCCCTTTTTTTTTTTTTTTTTTTAGTCAATTTCTGAGAAATACATTTTAAAGAAAAGAATTTTTTTCGGGAATTCTTCCTTACCGTTGTCTCGTTTAAAGAGTTAACGAAAGAGTTAAAAATGATTGTTATTCATTTTTTCGATTTACTGAGACCTTTTTCTACATTTTTTTTCGGATTTAAGTATTGGATAATTTGTAAAGAGATGTTTTTGCTTTTGGTATATAAATATTTTCCATGAAAATAAATCATGAATTATCGAAAAGATAATAAATGTAATAGTTTGTGATGGAAAATTTACATTAATTCTTCGAGAGATCTAGGAGAAAAATACAATTGCTTTTCTTTTACAGAGGGCGTAGTAGTTGACCGATTAACATAAACATAAAACAATATTACGTAGAAGATGTAACAAGAACGGAGCATTAGAAATGTTAGATTGGATCGCAACGTAAGGCCAATTCGCCAATTTGTCTCCATGTCTCAGATGTACAAATAAAAATTTTAACGATTTCTTCTAAAAGTTGACAATTGTCAAGTTGTCAAACATTTACTTAAACATATTTATCCATCTAAAAGTATTTGTTTCTTTAAGTTTTCCGAAACACTACAAATAACGCACACACGATTTACGTTTTTGGATCTTTGAATAGGTCAAGTCCGGTATCACAAAAAAACAAAAAAAAAAAAAGAAGGTAAATACAGAAAACGGTTTTTAAAAAAAATTTAGAAAATAAGCCCGCTTCATATTTATATAAAATTTAAAAAAAATAAATAAAAAAAATACTCTTCATAATTATGTAAACTGTAAATAGAAAAAAGCTACACATAATTTTTTTTTATAAACTTTAAAAAGAAAAACAAAAAAAAGCCCATATCATATTTACATACATTTAGAAAACAAGCCGCCCACTTCATATATATATATAAATTTAAAAAAAAAAAAAATTTATTTCTATATAAACCTTAAAAGGGGGGAAAAAAACCCAACTTCATATGCATATAAATTTTAAATCGAAAAACAACACATCATATTTTTATATAAAGCCGAAAAAAAAGCTCACTTCATATATATATATATATATATATATATACATATATAGAATAAGAATTTGAAGATTCGAATGCGAAAAGCATTCGAGATTCGAGTATGCGAGATTCGGCCCTCGCCGAATATAATTTTCTAACTTGTTTTTTGTTAAATTATATATATATATATACATATATATATATATCATTATATCATTATTTAGAAAAAATTAATCGTGGTATCTATCATATTCATTTTGAAATTAAACCATTTTTAGGCAGATAATATATCTTCATTTAGGGGCGTGTGCAAAACAGTTTTAAACATTCTGTCTTGTTTGCCTTATGATAGTTAAAGACAAAAATCTCAAAAAATCGAACAAAATACTATTTAATTATTCGTAACTTTGTGTATGAGTATGGCCGATTGGTTCCATTTTTGAACCTAACGAGTAAATTGTCTCGTAAAGCAAATGTGCAATGTTTCAACCTTGTAGCTTTAATAATTTCCGTATAATGAGTTGCGTTCAGTTTACGCCATACTGCGCGCTTCTGCTGCGCATAATTTGGCCCATTTTTAATATCAATCGGCGCGTACAGAAACCTCCAACTATTTCTACAAAATTTGAAGTTAATATTTTCATTTATTTAGACGGACCGACATGGCTAAATCAACTCAGAATTTCACGCTGATCAAGAATATATATATATATATATACAATATATATATACTTTATAGGGTTTCTGCAGCTTCCTTTTGCGTGTTACATATATAACGAAAAAAAAAAAAAACCAAATGAAAATTAAATCGTAATTTGATCATCGACTCTCCCAAATTTCGCTCGTCCAACTCGTTTTCGGAAATTCGGAAACGCATAGCCGATATGTATGCTTTCCACATGCTTACACGATAGCGTACTTGATATAGGAGCAACTTTCATCAATAATTTTGTTCCGTTGGGCGAAGGGAGAGTGCAATTAGTACAGTAGGATGCTGAATATAAAAGTGCGAGCACCTTCATTTAAAAGTGATAGTATTTTTGAGCTAAATGCAAATTCTATAAGTTATAAAGTATTAAACGCCTAGAAAATAGACCAGTGGAGCTTCTGTGTTCAAAAAAAAAAAGAAGAAAAAAAAGGAAAAATGACAAAATATCTATATATGGGAAATATTTATTTTTACTGCTGTTCCACCTTGATGAGTGATGAATAGTGAAAACCAAATAATTGCGATTAGACTAGATTGGGCGGACAAAGTGAATTGCTTCAAAGATCCAAAAGATTTTTCCCGAGACGGAATCTGTAAATTGACTGAAAGATGTGGGCGAAAGTTGTCGGTACAGATGCGGTTGTAAAATGTTGTAGAATCGATACACTTACGGCTTACACTTATTGCATTGCGAATATATAGTGGAAATTTAAAAATTTACGCTGGCATGATGCATCCCTTTGTTTGTCTTTCTATTGTTGTGTGCTTTCAAGATAATACACTGTTTCGAGGAATTAACTTTAAATTAGTGCGATTTAGTTTGACACGTTTCCCATTTCCCAAAGCGATCGCTATTGTTTAACTTTAGATTATTACCTTAAGTAACGGATTCTAAGGTTTTTGTATTTTGTTAAAGGCTTGCCGAGAATTCTCTTTCATTTTCGAAAAACCTAACCTTGTAATATGCTTTCTTTCTGTACATATTCTTCTTTGTATGTGTATGCATGCATGTATGTATGTTTCTTTGACAATTTTATGCAAATAAATTTTTAGTTATACGTTTTCTACGTTTTTTTTTTTTTTTCTCATCATTTTTTTCTCAGCTTTCCGACGTTTCCCACTGTTATTGACTTTTCATTGCCGTTAGTTATAAGGCGTCACCATTACCGTTGTTTTTCTTCATTTTTTTTTTTTTTTTTCATTATTTATTTTGTTTGGTTAGGTTTGGTTTAGAGTTTTTAAACTCTTTTTACTTCTTCCTAAGCCTTTGTTTCGCTTTCGATTCATTCGGTTTCTATTTATTTATACTTGTCGGCCCTTTTTACCCATAATGGAACATTTCAAGTAGCATAGCGAAAATGTTGTTTAAACGGAAGTTGCTTTTCTTTATAGGTATATAGGCAGGAAATAAAATTTGTTTTAAACCCACATTAGAAAGTGATAAACACGACGAGCATTTAATCTAAAGATAATGAAGAAGTGTTGAGAGATTTTTTTTTTTTTTTTTGGGTTTTATCATGCAATCCAATACTACGCAAAGACTTCAATGAGGAGACGCAATACTTAAAGCTTTTTTTAGAAGATTCTCTTAAAATAAGTCTTTCGATTTGCTTAGTAGTGTTAACAAGCTCGTAACTACGTTTGGCTTTTTATATGTAATTTTAAAATTTTTCAATTTTTTTTTTTTCAAATTTATAGACAATGTGTTGTGCTTTTATGCTTACTTTTCAAACTTGGCAACTTTAACGCGAACTAATTTGCAGAACATGCACTCGATAAATTTGTTGTTGTTTTTTTTTTTTTTGTACTCGTGAATCTTTCCTGAATCTTGGCTAGTTCTCTTAGGGGAAATGCATTAGAATGCATTCGTCGCGGCTTATGCCTTCACTATGTGTGTAGAATACAAGATGAACTCTGAGTTACTTAGTTGCTCTCCTCCATTAGCGCAGAGGCAAGTTTTGCCTTCCTCCTCGACACTCTTGCCTAATTCTCCATTAAGTAGTTTCATCAGTAAACCTATAATGGATTCAAAATGGATGATACGGTTTTTCATAACTTTTTTGCTTAAATACTTCGATTGGATCTTAGCAAGTCTGCTTCTTACTGCAATTTAATTGAATCGATATTTTCATGAAAATTTGGTTGGAAAGCGTCCCGCCCTGTTTACGTTCAAAGTTGAGAGTGTCTTTTCTTCTTCATCAACAATCCTGCCTAATTAAAAATCTCTTTGTAAGTTCACCTGTCATCCTCGTTGGCTGCTCTGTGCTATAAAATAAAGAAAGCAACAAAAAAAGAAATAATAATAAATTTGTGCATAACTTTATAAAGAAATTTCCTAAGAGACCGCTCATAACTGCGTATGCAGTGACGGAGAGCCCTTAAAGTGCAAATTAAAGTTTACGCTGACATTAAGGAAATGCATTATTTAATTAAAATTTTAAAAGTGAGAACAAAAATTTATGT